TTCTGGTGGACTCCAAACAAAGTTGCTGCTGACTGGCAAAAATTTAAGCTCCTTTGACGATTTCTTCTCACTCTCACTGCCAATCGGATCACTTCCACCTTCTGGAATAAGTTCAAATAGAGAACGGCATTGGCGTTCTTTGGTGCGTGCTTTGAGTGACCCACATACGCCACAATGAATTCCAACCATGTAAACAAGTACTTTTGCCCCATGATGTTCTCTATTTGGTTTTAACCAAATAGAGAACATCAAATTAGTTGTTCTTCAGGTGCCAGTTATTTTACGTTTCGGTCATTTGTGAGCATTAAAACGTAGTGAAAAACCTTTGTTTACAGCAGCTTGTGCTCCTCCCGCGTGGTTGTCTGCCTCTGCCATTATGCCAATGTGGTACATGTAGTTAATGGAAAAGTTGCTCCTTTAAGTTCACATCTCAGTGATGTAACGGCCAGAAAATTATCACGAGGCTGACATTATAATGACTGTAGACCGAGGTGGGATGACGTTGCGGCGCCAGCAGTGATGCTAAGCAGGTTACAACCGGCCTCGACTGGACTAGATTGTGACCTAACAACTGTCAAAACCCCCCAAATTATACAAGTTTAAGGGAGAGTATGCCAAAAATTAAAATTAATTATTATTAATAGATTATATAAAGCATACCCATACCGAATTTCAGATGATTTGGATGTACATGTAATACGAGGTCTCCAGGACCCCAAATGTACTTTTTTGGCCAAAAAATGAGGCAGATAAAACTTGAGTTTGCTGATCTCATACCTCCATGACATGTTTACACATGTAGTGCTTTCGTAAATCTTATGCATGGTGATGACCACCTGTAAATGGCTTACATTTACAATCCTACTCATTTGCAAAATTTTTATACAAATTATTCACATACTGTAGCTCCTACCTAGTAACATGCAACACACTGGTGAAATCCTTATCACTTAACATGGACAACGTATGATATTGTTGGTTATATCTTCAACCTCTGACATACTTTTGCCATCCAAGCCAAATTATAAGAGGCCATTTGCATATATTATATCAGATGATCATATTCTCCACCCAACGACAGGGTTATCTTAAGAAATAAGGGTATTCTAGCGTTTCCTCATAAATTATGCAAATGAGGTCCTGATTTGAATAAATTATGTTTAGTGATGTGCACCTTCACTGAACTTCCAATTATGGAAGTATTAAATTCCCGGCAGTTATCACCATAAAATTGTACCAATTTTCCATTAATTATGCAAATTAGGTCTTCATTTACATAATCAATATCTGCCATTAATCTTGTTGTTCTCAATTACATGTCGCAAAGTGTTTCATATGGAATACAGCAGATTTATAGAATTTCCTCATTAATTATGAAAATTAGATACTGATTTGCATAATTGTATCTTAATTATGTCAACCATCACTTAAGCTACCTACATACCAAAAATCATGACGATCCATCAAACGGCTGTTCAGTTATACCTCTCTCAAAGATTTCCAAAGAAACTATCCTGCAGTTCCAGAACAAGCTACCTACCATCCAAAATTCATGACCCTGGCATGTCCAGATCGCGAGATATCAAAATCGCAAGTTGCGCTGCAGTATTAAGGGA